CATGTCCTTATGGAAATTTAAATTTAAATTTTAATCAAAATCAATATTCTATACTTTATGATATGTATGCGAATTTTCAATCTTCTTACTATGGAAGAGATTCTGAACCCATATTGAAGCTTGAAACTTTTAAATCATTGGCTCCTCTAATTGTTATTGATTGTTCAAATCAAAATGAGTTTCTAAAGCAAACTTCAGTTGATGTACGTTTCGAATTTGAATCTAGAAATAATATACCTGCTGAAACAACTGCTTATTGTCTCATCATACATGATCGCATTGTACAGTATAAACCAATCAGCGGTATAGTTAAAAGATGTAAATCAGTGGAGGGGGTAAAATGAAAGTAGTGGGAGGTTGAACTGAGAGGTATATAACACCACTGGATGTCTGGAGATGTATCTTACGATGAACTGCGTACTATTATACAAGAAACATTACGAGGTGCAAAAACTATCTACACGAAAGGTGTTGAAAAAAGCAGTGGTTAGAAAAATATTCGTTAAATGTACAAAATTTAGAAGATATAGACCGTCCAGCGTTTAAAAATATTAAAACTGAATCATTGTTAACTACATGTACGCATCATATTACACAAACTAACCATTGTGCTGTAAACATTGTTATGATTCTTCAAATTTGGTTTCTGAATGTATCGAATGAATTGAGAAATTTTTCAGATGGCGTCGATGAAGTGGATTGTACTTATACTACTTTAAAATCTTTTTATGAAAATTATGAATCTTATGTATAATAAATTTTAAATACTTTATCTGAATAAATTAATTTATTAGTTTTTTAAAAATAAAAAAACGCCTATTTATGACTTGAACAATTTTATATTACAATTATTTTTTTTATTTTATAGTCTAATAATTTTTTTTCTTAATATTACTTATATTCAAATTCGATTTCATTAAACTTTCCGCCGATATATTTTAATTGTAATTCTTGAGATTGCGCCGCTTCTTTAATCATTGTGAATGATGCAGGTTCAGCTTCGAACAGCTTCGCGAACCTTGCTGGGAAGAAAGAGTTGAATGTAGCATCTAGTTCTGCTACAATCCTACCTCCGAATTTTGTCTGCACCCTCTTTATTTTAGTTACAGTATATAAAGCATTTGGAGTCAACTCAGCAAGCGGTTTTTGTAAATCTATGATTTCTTTTTATATCTGTAAGCAGAAGTAAATGGACACGCAAGTTGATAAAAAGAGAGAGAGGGGGAGTCCGTATGCAGCTCATCATATACTCTAAACCCCACTCTGGTTGTCAAGAGGGTGGAAAGTGGGAGGGTAGCTAAAAAAGAAATAAGCAAATGAGTGGGTGGTAGTAGGTGACCAAGTGGGAGGAAGGTGGGTAGAATTTTTAAAAAATGCATATGCAAAGGGGTGAAAAATTTAAAAATTCCCGCGAGCAACAGCGCCATCTTGCGACAACAGACGGTAACACCGAACTATGGTGGAAAGTGGGAGGGTAGCTAAAAAAGAAATAAGAATAAGTATATGGTAAAATAGTTACATACCATGGAAAATAAAATCGGCATGCAAATTAGTGGGTGGAAAGTTGGAGGGAGGCTTAAAAAGACATGAGTGGGTGGTAGAGGTTAACCAAGTGGGAGGAATGTGGGTGGGATTCTCTATTTTAATTCTACTGCTGCGAGTGCTGAAGGTCTGATGCTGCTGATACTGGAAGCTGTAACAGAATGACTTTCCTTGCTACAAGAATCGCCTGAGGTACATGTAGCCTCCACCATTCACAACATCCCACCACTGAACTCCATCCCCACTTGACGCATGGACTACCAACGGGCCTGGTGACCGTACGCGCTCATCTGCCGCGCACCTTTCACTTTTGAGTCATCCACTGTGCACCACCTATAGCCACCCACAGTCCCGCGCGGTATCTCGTGAACCCTTTGTTCCTCGACGTTCTAATTATGATTTTTGAATTTTTAAGACCGTATATGTTTATACATAGGGAAGACATATGCAAATTAGGGGGGTGGTGGATGACCAAGAGGGTGGTAAGGGAGGTGACCAAACGAGTTAAAAATTTCCGCGAGCAACTGCGCAAATTAGGGGGTGGTAGGAAGCCAAGAGGGGTGGAAAGTGGGTGGTAATATTTAAAAAAGACATATGCAATTAAGGGGTTAAACCACTCTAGAGCGTCAAAAAAAGGCCTAACTTTAGAAATTTTTTTCAAGAAAAGTTTAAATGTACTGAAAAATATGTTTACATATCTTTATTAGGTACACTTTAAAGAGAAAAAAAATATACTTCATTATTTATTTTTTTTTAAATATCAAATTTACAGGTACGTGATAGGAACCCTTTCTAAGAGGAATCACGTCGCGGCCGGAAAGGTTTTAGCTCCAATTTTCATCCTAGAACAAAAAACAAATTTCTTTCTATTTTTACATCTTAAAAGCTAGAGAAAGACGTAGGGGATTTTTTTTCAATTGATTTTTGCAAAAATGGCGAACATTTTAAGGAAAAACCGAGTTTTTTACTTAAAAAATTGACACTAAATTGTTTATAACAAAAAAAATATGCAACATAAAAAAAAATCCGTACGTCTTTCTCTAGATAATGTTATTGAGAAGCTACAGTTTAATTTTTAAGTAAATCGGTTGAGATTTGTAAAAGTTATGTTTCCGGCCAGCACAAAAAATGTAGTTTTGAGAAAAACGAGTTTAAAGTTTTACTTACGACTTTTTGGATATACCTTCAATCTGCAATGCCTGCGCCGTATAATTGACCTTCCAAATTAAAAAGTGTTTCGACTTATAATTGATATTGTTTCTTATTCTATACACCCTTAGGCACCTTTTAAAGCAAAAAAAATTTTTTTGATTTTTTGAAAATTCTAGAGTGGTTTAACCCCTTAAGAGGCGTGGTGGGTGACCAAGAGGGTGGTAAGGGAGGTGACCAAACGGGTTGAAAATTTCAAAAATTCCCGCGAGCAACAGCGCCATCTCGCGACAACGGTCGGTAACATCCACTAAGGGTAAAGTAGAGTTACCATATGTCGGTAAGATAGATACCTACATTACCTGTGTTTTAGAACTGGCACAGCCCTACTACTAATTGTAAAAATATATTTTGAATAAAAGCAATAACTAAATTATACGCTACGCGGAGAATTACCCATAAATTCATTACTGCTCGCTCAAAAATATCAAAGCTAGAAGTCATGAAGAAAATCCTTACTGAGTTTGGCTTTTTTGTTTTGGAAAAACGTCAACAATAATTTTACTTACAGGTGCTATAAGTGATTTAGCCATGAATAAATATTTGTTGCACCTTTAACTGAAATCATTATAGACGTTTTTCCGAAGCAAAAAAGGCAAACACAGTAACGGTTTTCTTCATGACTTCTAGCTTTTGAAATTTTTGAGCGAGCAGTATTGAAATTAAACAATGTTATTAACAAACATTGAGTATTATTTCTGACACTTTTAAATTTAATACTGGACAACTTCAGAATGAATTGATTTATGATTAGAAATCGAATTGATTAATATTCAACTGTTTCAAAGTAAAAAAAGTACTATAAAAAGTTAAAAATACACAAAAATCGACTTTATTCGTAAATCCCTCTACCCATTTTTTTCATCTTAGGTTGAAACTACTCACAAAGTAATGTGGAATTAGTATCTGAAGAGAGCCGAGATGGGACAGTATTTTTGGGTTAAAGTTAGTCCAAGCCCATCCTTCTCAGACACACGACAAAAGCCGTCATTTTGTTACAACGATCAAGTCAGAACTAAATATAATATTGGAAAAGATCATCTCTGCTGAAATATGGAGTCAATATACTTTTAAAGGTAAACATGTCAAATAACCACATGGTATTTATTGTGAATTTAATCTCTTAATAAGATGAAAATAAGTTTTATTAAGAAAACAAATATCTTCTTTCTTATTAAGAGTAAAATCATTACTTAAAATATGTATCATTTCAAAAATATAACGTTTTTCATAATTTGGATCCATAAAAATGTCACCGAAAAAAGGTGAAATAGGTGAACCAATCGGAGTGCCATCAATTGGTTTATAAAATTTTTTATTAAAAATGAAGAACGTATTATTAAAAAGAAACTTTGTACATTTTACAATTTCAGAGGATGCTATTTTACAATTAGTGAGTGATGCACATCTACGCTCAAAACCATCATTAACCAATGTTTACCTTTAAAAGTATATTGACTCCATATTTCAACAGAGATAATCTTTTCCAATATTATATTCAGTTTTGACTTTATCGTTGTAACGAAATGAAAGCTTTCGTTGTGTGCTTTTGTTTTATGCGTTTTTTAATTTATTTTAACTTTTCGTTTATTTATAAAAAATTTTTAACCTCTGGGAGTCGATTATGTAATTTGATATGACTTTGACGTCAAAGTCAAATTTATTTTTTGATTGCAATACGTCAAATTGCTATCAAAAAATAAATTTGAATTCGACGTTAAATTGAAATAAAAAATTAAATTTTAATTTAACGTCTAAGTTAAATAAAACAATGAATTTGTTGAATTAAATTTGACATTGACGTTTAAATGAATTTGATTTTGACGTCAAATCAAATTACATAATCGACACCCTGGCTAGTTGCTATATTAACTATATTTTAATATTCAAGTATTACACTATTAATTTTATTTATTTATTTATTTATTATATTTTGTTAATTTTTGTGTTTTTAAATAAATTAGCCTGAGGAGGATGGTAAACCACACCATCAAAACGTCGCAACTTTAAAAAATTACATAAACTTGTTTTATGTTTCCTTCCTTCCTGTTGAACGACTCTACTACTTTACAAATTATATATTTAAAAAGGAATTCTATTTTTCATTTTAAAGTTAAACGAGTTGCCACTTTGAAACATAATCAAAGGTTCGTCTTTCCAAATATTGACAATTTCTGAAAGCATTCAATGCTGACTGGTTTGACTAAAATTATTTTGTTACCTGCGAGAAATTTGTTTAATTTACTTACCTAAAAGTCCACCATATATCGAAACACATTACGTTTAGCCAGAAAAAACTAGCTATGAATGAAAAGTACATCATGTAAGCTGAAACAAAAATATTACAATTTTAAATTATTTAAATTGCCATGATATTTGTTTATTAAAAAAATATTATATAGAATAAAAGTACCTTTATTAACAAACAAATTATAAAATAAAAGAATTAATAAATGGATCAATTTAAGGGGACTTAATTCTGGTTTAGAATTGACAAAAAAGACACGTTTTAAAACTTTTATTTTAAGAAAAGTATTAAAGAAATTGCAAAAATTCTTTTTGGACATTGTTGCATATTATATGGAGAAAATTTTTAAAAAATGTTTGAATGTATTTAGTTCAATTTCGTTGCTGTAGCTGGCGTCTTCCAAAAGGCACCTTTTTGGTGCACTTGATTCTTGCTGGATTCCGGACAACCAGTAATATATAAATTCAAAATTCAAACGAGAATCTCTTCATAAAGGTCCTTACTGATCCCTACTAGGATCCTTCGAAAAATCATATAGGAAATTAAGACATGATTTGAAGTGGGATTCGATGTAAATTTTTATAAACGTATTCTTAGGTCCTACATATAGGATCTCATGTAAGAATCCATCATTAGGAATTCATGTGGGATGTCATGTGTGAATTTCACTGTTTTAATTATCCATCTAAGATACCAAGTAGGAAACTATATGAGAAATTATACAGGAAATTATATGAGAAATTCCAATATAGATGTACATCATCATAGTTTCACTCTTACGCCGACAGAAGGTGTCTTGCAAAGCACAAATTTTTTTTCTTTTCAGATTGTTAAAGATGAATTTAGAAAATTAGTTTTTATCAATAAAATATTGATATTTTCAAAAACTCTAAAAGATTTTGATTCTTTAACACACGTTGACCTTCGTACAACTAGATTGTATAGGTAGTGGAACCCCTCCTTACCTCACTATTATTCAGTGAGTTGGTTGAGATTCCATATTAATAGAACAATTGGTTTAGGAATATTTGAAAGAATAGATTAAACAAATATTTAAATAGTTGTATGTAAATATATATTGTGTAAGAAACCCAAATGTTACAATCGTACAGTATTTTGTATTCAAATACGATTTTAACGTGTAGAATGTAATGCATGTGTAAGAATGTTGTGTGTGAAATTTATTAAGAGTCTATTGACTCTTTTGTATATTTACCTCTGGAATTCCTCAGAATTGTATCTTTAAATATACTCGACGTAACTAAATTCAAATATTAAATCAATTCTCCAATTTATTATAGTTATTCAATATTCTCTTTATCTCAATCAATTATGTTAAACAATCTCAAAACTCAATACAAAATATAAACTTTATTTTTCAATTACTCAATCTCAATTCAAAACTAAGTGATCTCAAAAACTCAATTGTATACTCTTTAATCAAACTCAAAATTAAATTCTCTTTATTCAAAACTTCAATTATTCACTCTTTGAAATACTCAAAACTAAATACTCTTAAATCAAATCTCAAACTCAAAAATAAATACTCTTTTGTCCAATAATCTCAACTCAAAAATCACAACTTAAATCTCAAAACTCAAAACAAAACTCTAAATGGAAACAACCTCGAAGTAGAGGTTTGTATCAAAAAGTCTCTCACTCAGAGACTCGAACTCCAAACTCTCAAAACTCCAAGCTCCAACCTGAGTTCTCTCTCTTTACTCTCCCAAACTGACACTAAACTTCTTGTGTCCAATGATTTTATTAAGCTAATTTTTGGAGGGAAAAAATATATTTTATTTAACAATTTTATTTTTGTCAATGTTCTTTATTGCAACCTTGCAATATTGTGGTAGTGTTCCAGTTCATTTTGAATGGACATACCTTGGATGCAGTAATCTTTATTTCTTATATTGAATTAACTCACTTAGTTTCTCAATTTTATCATGAAAATTAAATAGGTCTTCTTTAAAATTTAGGTTATTAATTGAATGTTAATATTTAATATATAATTATTTGGACATCTACAAGAGATTCTAAAGGCATTTCTTATGATGTTTATAATGTGTTATTTTTTTCTGCATTTCATAATGTTCCCTTTTTAAGTATTGTATTAATGAATTATTAATAATATTAATAATTTATTAATAAGACGTTACGAAATTCATATGTAACACAGATGAACTGCAGTAATATTATTTAATTTTTAATTAAATAATTTTTCATTTTTATAAACTGCCGTCTGCCAACTGAAAATTCCTATATGAGATCCTATATTGTTTCTTTTATATAATTCCATGTGAAATCTTAGATAGATATTTCAGAATTTACATGAAATCCTATATGATTTCTTATGTTCAAATCAATCATATATATGATCCCACGTAAGGATTTTTAATATGATTTCATGTCAGATTTTTTGTAATAATTTTTTATTCAAGAATCGAAAAAAGATTTGATGTATGATTTGATATAGGAGAATTTCTGGTTAAGGATTGAGCATTGAATTATTGTAGGTTTTTTTATGAGAAAACACGAAGGAAATTGACATAAGAAATTGAAGGAAAAAATGTGACGAGAAAAAATTGTAGAATTTCACATATACAGAAAAAACCTGAACTCAAAATGAATAGCATACGCTACTCATTTTGATGTGGAGCAAAAATGAGTCAGGTTGGTGGCGCTTCTGTCTATGTCGTTGAAATTGACTCATTTTGAACTGCAGCAAAAATGAGACTAGGTTTTTTCAGTGTAGTAATTTACATAATTTATTATCTAAGAATACGTTTATAAGAATTTACATCGAATCTTACTTCAAATCATGTCTGAATTTCCTATATGATTTTTCATAAGATCCTATATAGTTTCTTACATGACATAGGATTTTATGTGGATTTTAATATATGAATTTATGTGAGATCCTATATAAAATCCTACATTGATACATACATACACTGTAAAAAATTTTGGGAATTATCACCAACTTTTTTTGGTGAATATTTCATATTTTTGAGGAAAATGTTTTCCCCAAAAAAATAAGTGATTATTTTCCTAAATTTTGGTGAAAATTTCCTAAAATTCTAATGTATATATTTTCCCTAAAAAGAGTTGGTGAAAATTTCTCAAAATTCCATTGAATATATTTTTCCCCAAAAACAAGTGGTGAATATTCCTCAATTTTTTTGAAATCCTTCTTCAAAAAAGTTAAACTTTAAACTTACTTAAGTTACAAAAAGTTATTTGTAACTTGTAATATAATTTATTCATTTCATAGATAAGTTAATTATAACTTAACTAAATAAGTATTTTTAAGTAGACAAAAATTTATATTTCTAAAGAATTAAATTAAATTTTTATCAATATTTGTTTAACAGATCTTATTTTATTTATTATATAACATAAGTCACAACTATTTTCAACGTTTGTTTCCTTTTTTAGGGTTCCGTACCCGAAGGGGGAATCCTATTAATGAGACTAGTGAAGCAAGGCATGTACCCCCCCCCCCCTAGCGGCCATACGAATTTATCTAGAGGGCTGAAATTTGGTATATATATGTAATTTGGCGTGTAGATTACAGGAAAAATATAGCGAATCTCATAGGAATTGATTATCATAGCGTTGTCAAGGAAAAACCATGAATTTTTACGAAAAATCCCTGAAAATGACTATGTACCCCCCCTCTGGTTGCCACATCTTTTTACATAGAGAGCTCAAATTTGGTACACTTATGTATTTTTACGTGAAAATTACAGGAAAAATATAGCGAACATGATTCGGATCAATTTACATAGCGTTGTCAAGGAAAAATCAAAAATTTTGAAAAAAAAGCGTTTAATCCACCTAGCGCACACACTATTTGACCAAGACAGTTCATATTTGGTATACTTACGTATTTTTGCGTGTAGATTACAGGAAAAATATAGCGAGCACGATTGGAGTTGATGATCATATTGTTTTTAAGGAAAACTCATATTTTTAGAAAAAATCATGGATTTTTCGAATAAAAAAAGAAGAAAATTTTATCTTAAGGAATTCAAATTTATACATTTTTACGTATTTTTACGTGTAGATTACAAAAAAAATATAGCGAGAACGATTAGAGTTGATTATCATAGAGTTTTTAAGAAAAAACTGTTAATTTTTGATAAAAATCATGAATTTTCTTCAAAAAACAAAGAAAATATTATCTAATGGGCTTCAAACTTATACATTTTTATGTATTTTTACGTATAGATTACAAAAAAATATAGTGAGCATGATTGGAGTTGATAATCATAGCGTTTTTAAGGAAAAACTGATAATTTTCGTTATATGTGACTATGTGTCTATCTATGTGTTTTTATGCTCACATTACAGGAAAAATTAAGCAAAATTGGAATTTTTCCACATGCCTTCACACTTTAATCCCTTAAATTTTAGGTTTAACGGTACGGAACCCTCGGTTTTAATGCGAGTGTAACTCGCACTTGTCCGATTTTTTAAAGTTACAAAGCATTTTTACATACAGTGGACTCCGCTTATAACGAACTTCAAGGGACCATTGAAATTTGTTCGTTATAAACGAAGTTGAATTTAAGATTAGAAAATACGTGGTAATAAATATAAGTATATAATTAAAATTTTTATAATATTGTTTTATGTATTTAGTCATTAGTTGGTTAAGATACTAAGATACATATCATCAATTAATTTATCAAAATAGTTATTATTATAACAATTTAGTAATTCAGGAACTTGTTTGCCTATTAAGATAAGGAAGAATCGAAGATTGTCTTTTATTAATATTATAGTTTCTCAAATGATAATCGTTGACAATATTTTTTACTTTTACATAATGTTCAAAAAAATGATCCTCTATGTCATTTGTTTCGAAAAATGTAGACAATGTTTGCAAAGCGGACAGCGCTTGAATACTTGAAACATGTTGAACACAAGATTTTCCCTTTTTCTAATTCTTTTAAAATATCAATTTTATCACTTACAGATAAAATAGTTCTTTTTCTTGAAATCTCCATTTGGCAATAGACAATGTTAGTACGAGGGAAAATTGAAACAGACTGCCCAATAAAGTAAATAAATT